TAAGTTACATAATAATTATTGAGTGTATTGAATCAACTACTCGTAGTTATAAATTCTTCAACTTTATATTCTTGTTATTATTGTTGATAAGTGTCATTGAGTTAGTGCTGACTCATGGTGAGCCTGTATAGGGTTTCCAAGGAGTTGCTGGTGAATTCAAACAGTGAGTTATTTTTTGATAATTCCTGCAGGGGTTTCCAATAGTACTATTGATAATTAGACTGATTTGTAATCAGGAGCTATTTGCTGTAAAAATACATTGGAATGCTCATAATACAGTATATTAAATGTTAAATTATTCATTTTTACTTACTATAAAATGTGATTTTCTTGAGGTCTATTTGAATTTTTAAAATGATAAGAATTTTCTTTTGAATAAGATACTGTTTCTCAAAAAAAAAATTGTTTTTTTTTTTTTTTTTTTTTTTTTGTAGCAATGGAAACTATTTGAATCTCTCTCTTCCACATACAGCAACAGAAAGATAATTAAGAGTTACCCAGGATTAAAATGATAAAGGATAAAGAGTAAATGCCAGTCTTGTGATGAACTTTTAAATTGTGGTAGTGGTGGTTGTGTGCTGTGGTGTTGGTTGTGGCTCATAGCAACACTGTATAAGGTTTCTGAGGCTGTAAATTTTTACCAGTGCAGAAAAACTCATCTTTCTCCATGGAGTGGCTCGTGGATTCGAACTGCTGCTGACCTTGGGGTCAGCTCTGTAGCATTGAAAAGTCAGTTTGAATTGCAAGGTTGGTGGTTCAAGCTCACCAGTCGTTCCTCAGAAGCCAGATATGATACAGGGCCCCTAGGAGTGGGCACTGACTTCACTCCTAACAGAGGTCTATCTAATCTATAAACTATTAAACATATGGCACTAGGTGGCAGCAACACACCAACAGCAAACCGTAGCTGATAGGTTGGATGTACCTAGAGAACAAACAGATGAGATATGGAGGTAATTCAAAAGGTTGCCCTAGAGCTCCCAGAGATTCATGCCAGGTTCAGAAAAGGAAGTGGAAAGAGGGACATACTTGTTGATGTAGGATGGATCTTGGTTGAAAACACAGACTTCCAGAAGTATGTTTATTTGTTCTTTATTGAATATGCAAATGCATTTGTCTGTGTGGGTCATAACAAAGTATGGATAATATTTTGAAGAATGGGAATTCCAGAACCTTCATTGTGCTCATGAAGAACCTGTATACAGACCAGGAGGCAGTCATTCAGACAACACAAGGGGATGCTGAATGGTTTAAAATCAGGAAAGGTGAGTGCCAGGGTTGTTACCTTTCATCATAAATTCAGTCTGTATGCTGAGCAAATAATCTGAGAAAATGAAGAAAAATGCAGCTTCAGAATGGAGGAAGGCCCATTAACAACCTGAGATATGGAGATGACACAACTTTACTTGTTGAAATCGAAGATGACTTGAAACATATACTGATCGAAGACCACAACTTTCAGTATGAATTGCATGTTAACATAATAAAAATGAAAATTATCACAACTGGACCAATAAAATCATGATAAATGGAGAAAATAGGGAAGGATCAAATATTTACTTTTATTTGGATCCATAATCAACACTTATGGGAATAGCACTTAAGAAATCAAAAAATATATTGTATTAGCCAAATCTGCTTGAAAAGATCTTTCTTTGAAAAGAGCAAAGAGAACACTTTGAGGACTTAGGTGCGCCTGACCCAAACCTTGGTATTTTAAATCACCTCTTATGCATGCAAACGCTGGACAACGAATAAGGAAGACCCAAGACGAATCGATGCAGTAGAATTGTGGTGTTGGCAAAGAATATTAAAAGTACCATGGCCTGCCAGAAGAACAAACAAATCTGTTTTTGCCTGGATTGCTTCTAAGAAGGGATGATCAGGAGACTTCATCTCTTGCACTTTGGACGTGTCACTGGAGAAGGAGATCATGCTTGGTAAAGAGGAGGAGGACCTCCAACAAGATGGATTGAACTAGTAGCAGCAATAATGGGCTCAAACATAACAATTGTGAGTATGGTGTAGGACCAGGCAATGTTTCGTTATATTGTACAGTGTCACTATGAGTCAGAAGGGATTTGATAGGAAAATACCAGAAAGATGTTTACTTGTGCTTTATTGACTATGCAAAGGCTTTTGATTGTGTGGATCATGACAAGCTATGGACAACGTTGTGAAGTATGACTATTCCGGAACACTTAATTGTGCTCATAAGGAATCTATATAAGGACCAAGAAGCACTTGTTTGAACAGAACATGAGAACACTGAATGGTTTAAAATTAAGAAAGGTGTGCTACAGTATTGTATTCTTTCACCATATTTATTCAACCTGTATGCTGAGCAAATAATCTGAGAAGCTGGATTCTATAAAGAAAAACATGGCATTAGGATTGGAGGAAGACTCATTAACAACAACTTGCGATATGCAGACGATAGAACTTTGCTTGCTGAAAATGAAGAGTACTTAAAATGCTTACTGATGAAGGTCAAAGACCATAGCTGTCGGAATGGATTACATCTCAATGCAAAGAAAACAAAAATCCTCACCACTGGACTAGTAAACAACATTCTTATCAACAGAGAAAAGATTGAAGTTGTCAAGGACTTCATTCTTCTTGGATCAACTATCAACACTCACGGAAGCAGCAGTCAAGAAATCAAATGACATTGCATTAGTTAGACAAATCTGCTGCACAAGACCTTTTTAAAGTTTTGAAGAGCAAAGATGTCAGTTTGAGAATTAAGGTGTGCCTGACCCAAACCATGGTAGTTTCAATAACCTCATATGCTTGGGAAATCTGGACAGTGAATAAGGAACACCATAGAAGAATTGATGCCTTTGAGTTATGGTGTTGTAGGAGAATATTGAGAGTGCCAAGGGCTGCCAAAAGAACTAATAGATCTGTGTTGGAAGAAGTGCAGCCAGAGTACTCCTTAGAGACCAGGATGGCCAAACTTCATCTCTCATACTTGAGACATATTGTCAGGAGGGACCAGTCACTGGAGAAGGATATCATGTTTGGTAAGGTGGAGGGTCAGAGAAAAAGAGGAAGACCTCCAGCGAGATGGATTGGCCAAGTGGCAGCATCAATGGACTCAAGCGTGGCAACAATTGTGAGGTTGGCCCACGACCGGGCAGTGTCTCGTTCTGTTGTGCATAGGGTTGCAATGAATCAGTACTGATCATGGCACCTAACAACAACAATAACAATAGTACCCAGGGATGGGCTGATTACAGATCTATTTTTGTATGTTGTTGAGTAGATTACCACTCATAGTGAGTAACTCAAACTGCCCAACAAGGTTTTCCAAGCTGTAGTCTTTGTTAATGGGAGCAGGTTGTCTGTGCTTTTCTGCCATGGAACTAAAACACCACCAGGGCTTCTCCTAGATTCATATTACTCAGATAAAGAAAACACATATACATACTCTCACCAAAAAAACCAAGTTAGCAGCACATATTAAAAATGGCAGATTATAAAGACAATGATATATGTTTACTTTACATTAAAAGTAAACATGTATCTTTGTCTTTATAATCTGCCATTTTTAATATGTGCTGAGCTCTGGTAGTATAGTGGTTACGAGTCGGGCTGCCAACCCGAAACTACTGTCATCAGTTCAAAACTACCAGCTGTTCTGCGGGAGAAAGATGAGCCGTTCTGTTCCCATAAAGATTTACAACCTCAGAAACCCTATACAGGGTCGCTATGAGTCAGAACCTACTCCATGGTACTTAACAACAACAACAACAACATCTCTCTATCTATCTACATTGTCTTGGATTTTTAGGGCTACTGTAATAGAAACACCACAAGTATTTCTATTTTCTTTAAAGAACAGAAATTTGTTTTCTCACAGTTCTGGAGAATTAAAGTCCAAATCAGGTTGATTGCTTCCTTGTCAATAGTCCAAGTCCTTCTTGGTTCTTGACTATCTTCACATGACATCTGTCTTTCCAAGTATGTGCTTGCTTATATCTGCATCTTTGTGTCTCCTTCTATAACTCAGAAGTGATTTGGCTTTGGACCCACCTTATGTCAGTATAACTTCGACTGATTGATTGAATGTAATATATTAGATTGCATTATTTGTTGTTGGTTTTGTTAAGTGCCTTTGAGTAGGTTCAGAGTCACAGAAACCCTGTCTAAGGATTTCCAAGGAGTGACTGGTGGGTGACTATATTATATTACATCCACAGGTATAGGGGCCAAGACTTCAATACACATTTTGGGGGAACACAATTCGATCTGTCACATTGACATTATTATAATGCTTTTCTGAACTGTTTGAGTGCAGGCTGTAGACAGATGTTCCTTTTCTCTTATATCCCTGTATTATAAATATAAAAATCAGGAAATGATCACTAATAAACCACTCTTTACAGACTAAAAATTATTTTTATCAATTGTTCTACTAATATATTTTATAGCCAAATGAGTTTGTTTTATGTTGTTTTTTCCCATTCTAAGAGACAATTCAGAATTAAATATTTCTTTATGTTGTAATATCTCTTTTATTTATGCTTAAACAATTTAAAGAAAATTATATAAAGATATATAAGAAAAAGAAAGAAAATAACTGACCTAATACATTGTTATTTTATAGTCATTATAAACATTTTAGAGTCAATAATAGACTCATATGCTTTTTTATTGAAATTGATCATGGTATATAGATAAAACAAAGCAATGTTGCAAAATACATTTATAAAAAGTATGTCAAAAATTAATACATTACAGTAGCAATAAATTTCTCATCTCTTGTCATTTGAAAAATTCCCTAAATACAAGAAGAAACTTTCTTGCTGCTTTGCTGATTTAATTTTAAAAATTGCTTATAATTCATGTGTATGCTTATAAACTTATTGTTCATTATATTTTTGTGCAAAAAATATCTGCATTAACCTTTAGACTTTTTACTTTGCGTTGCATCATAAACTGCTTATTTGAATACCTAAAGTTTCTTGAGCTGTTTTAATTTTTTTCATATCCAGGGGATGGTCTTACAGTTCCAACAAAATTTAGCCTAATTGAACGGCAAGGTGAGATAAAAGCTTCATTGGATGGGAAACCAAGGACTGACATTGCTGCTTTTGAAAATGGAGGTAGGTCAATGTATTAATGGTTGACTAGGACTATATTAAGGAGCTCTGGTAGGATAGTGGTTACGAGTTGGGCTGCTAACCTCAAGGTCAGCAGTTTGAAATTATCAGCGATTCCATGGGAGAAAGATGAGGCTTTCTGCTCCCGTAAAGATTACAGCCTTTGAAACCCTATGTTGTTGTTGTTAAGTACTGTGGAGTCGGTTCTGACTCATAGTGACCCTGCATAGGGTTTCTGAGGCTACAAATCTTTATGGGAGCAGAAAGCCTCATCTTTCTCCCATGGAACAGCTGGTAGTTTCGAACTGCCGACCTTGAGAATAGCAGCTGGATTCGTAACCACTACACTACCAGAGCTCCTTTTGAAACCCTATAGAGGGTTGCTATGACTTGGAATCCACTCCATGATACATCACCACCACCATGACTATATTACTTCATAGATGATACATGGACCTGAATTTTTTCTTTCATAACTTTAATATTTTACTTTTTGGGACCTATTTATGTGTGCTTTATGTAGAGTCGAAACGTGTGTTAGCAAATTGCATATTTTCTGAGGTCAGTGTCTCACTGAATGCTCTGTGGGAGTTTGTGCTAGTTGCAAGACATTCCAATCTTTTCTATATTTTATGATAAATCTTCTTGTATGTGTGTATACATGTAGACACAAATTCAGGCAATAATAAATGCAGGTGTCAAGTATGTGCTATTATATGCCATTGCAAAGTTGTAAACAAATGAGACACTTAATAATTCCTACTTTGTTTGAATATACCTACATGGTGGTGGTATTGGTTATGTGCCATGGAGTCGGTTCTGACTCATACTCATGGTGACCCTGCATAGTGTTTCTGAGGCTGTACATCTTTATGGGAGCAGAAAACCTCATCTTTCACCTGCAGAACAGCTGCTAGTTTCGAACTGCTGTCCTTGAGGTTAGCAGCCTGATTTGTAACCACTACACTACCAGAGCTCCTACATAAGGCAGTTATATTCAAGTATATTGTATGTATCATTTATGTCAAGGCATAAAATCCGTATTGTGTTATATAACTCAAATGTTTTGGAACTGCTTCATAGCTGAAAATACACCCTTACTCAGAAAATCATAAGGCTTTGCTCTTATTTTTTTAAAGTAGAGACTGTGTTTTAAAAGATAAAGAAGAATGTGGTTAGTAGGAAGAATGTGTGGGGAGGGAGAAGGTGGAGAAATATGAACCAATACATCTGAGGCACATTAGTGATACTTTTACAGTTCCTGCTTCATCTGTTTGCAACCATTTTCTTCTATCTTTCTTCTTGGTATTAAGTAATTTTATTCTTTTCCTTCCTCTTTCTCTTCTATCCTTTGGAGAAGATTTAGACTAGTTGTCATTGATTGGATGCCTTGAAGCAATAAACTTTAGCTGTAAATAAGAAACATTGGCAGTTTCTCCCAGGAGGATCAGCACTGCACTGTGAATCACAAGGTCAGTGGTTCAAACCTATGAACTGCTATTGATAACATTAAGAAGAATAGGAATTCAAGAACATTTAATTGTGCTTATGAGGAACCTGCATATAGGCCAGGAAGCAGTCATTCGAAAAGAACAAGTCATTGAATAGTTTAAAATCAGGAAAATGTGCACCAGTGTTGTATCTTTTCTCCTCTATTGGACATTCCTGCTCCCAAGAATACTTATTAAATCTGTAAACTGAGCAAATAATTCTAGAATCTGGATTATATGAAGAAGAACATAGCATCCGGGTTGGAGGAAGGCTCATTAACAATCTGCTATTTGCAGGTGGCACACCTTGCTTTTTGGAAGTGAAGAGGACTTGAAATATTTACTGATGAAGCTCAAAGACTACAGCATTTAGTATAGACTGCACCTCAATGTAAAGAAAACAAAAACCCTCATTATTGAACCAATAACTAGCAAGACAAATTGAGAAAAGATTGAAGATGTCAAAGAATTCATCTTACTTGGATACACATTCAACGTTCATGGAAACAGTAGTCAAGAAATCAATGATATATTGCATTACTCAAATCTGCTGCAAAAAACCTCTTTAAAGTGTTAAAGAGCAAAGATGTTACTTTGAGGACTAAGGTGTGCCTGGTTCAAAACATGGCATTTTTAACTATCTCATTTGCATGTGAAATTTGGCCAATGACTAAGGAAGCCATAAAAGAATTGATGCATTTAAATTATGGCATCAGAAAAGAATATTGGAAGTACCATGGGATGCCAGAAGAACGAACAGATCTGTGTTGGAAGAAGTAAACCAGAAGGCTTCTTAGAAGCCAAGAAGGCAAAACATCATTTCTCTTACTTTGGACATATTACCAAGGAGGACCAGTCACTGAAGAAGGACATCAAACTTGGTGAACTGGAGGGTCAACAAAAAAGAGAAAGACCCCTATGAGATGGATTGGTACAGTGGCAGCAGCAATGGGCTCAAGCGTAACAATAATGATGCAGGACTGGACAGTGTTTTGTTCTGTTGTGCATAGGATTGCTATGAGTCAGAACTGACTCAACAGCACCAAGAACAACAACAGCATCTTACATTGTTGTTGTTAAGTATCTTAGAGTCAGTTCTGACTCACAACGACCCTGTACAGTGTTTCCAAGGAGTGGTTGTGATTCACTGACTTTGCGGTTAGCAGTACAATGGTTATCCTACAGCATTACACCAAAGTAGGTAATGTATAGGTTGATGACTTTTAGATGAGGATGCCCATATAGCTACATTCACTGCATTGGTTGGAGGCTGTATTGCTTGTCAGTAGTCCTTTTTCAAAAATAACTACTTCTCTGTTACTATAGGTTCAGTTTGCATTTCTTGACTATAAGTAGAAATGTACTACTGTTTGTCAGTTTCTCATATTGTGGTGACTTGCATATTGCTGTGATGCTGGAAGCTATGCCACCAGTATTTTAAATGCCAGCAGGGTACACCTGAGCTTGCTGAGACTCTGAAACTTGCTCTCCAGCATAGAGATGTTAAAGCAAAGGGAAGAAGTGAGGTAAAAGAGCTGAACAGAAAATTTCAAAGGGCCACTCAAGAAAACAAAGTCAAATATTACAATGAAATGTGTGAAGACCTGGAGTTAGAAAACCAAAAGGGAATAACATACTCAGCATTTCTCAAGCTGAAAGAACTGAAGAAAAATGTAAGCCTTGACTTGCAATATTGAAGGAGTCTTTGGGCAAAATATTGTATGATGCTGAAAGCATCAGAAGAAGATGGAGTCACTCTACCAAAAAGAAATGGGAATGTTCAACTGTTTTGAGAGGTAGCATAAGATAATAGCCAATAATTCTGAAGGAAGAAGTTCGAGGTGCACTGAAGGCCTTGACAAAGAACAAGGATTTGGGAATTGATGGAATCAAAATTGAAATCTTTCAACAAACTAATTCAGCACTGTAAGCACCCAAGAAATTTGGAAGATAGTTATCTGGTCACATGATTGGAAGCAATCATTTGTGCCCATTCCAAAGAGAGGTGACCCAATGAAATGCATACATTATTGGATAATGTAATTAATAGCACATGAGAATAAAATTTTGCTAAAGATAATTAAAAAATGGCTGCAACAGTATATTAACCAAGAAACAACAAGAGGTTCAAACTGGATTTAGATGAGGGCATGGAATGAAGGATATCACTGCTGATGTCAGATGGATTTTGGTGGAAAGCCAAGAGAATTCCAGAAAGATATTTACCTGTGCTTTATGGACTATGCAAAGCTTTTGACTGTGGATCATGACCAGCTATGGATAATACTGTGGAGAATGATGTGTCAGAACACTTAATTGTGCTCATGAGGAATCTGTACAGGAAACTTTCATTCAAACAGAACAAGGGGACTTTGAATGACTTAAAATTAGGAAATATCTGTGCTAGTGTTGTGCATTTTCACCATAGCTATTCAATCTGTGCACTGAACAAATAATCTGAGAAAGTGATTATATGAAGAAGAATGTGGCATCAGGATTGGAGGAAGACTCATTAACAACCTGCGATATGTAGATGATACAAACTTCCTTGCTGAAAGTGAAGAGGACTTAAAATTCTTACTGATGAAGATCAAAGACCACAACTTTGGGTATGGGTTACACTTCAAAGAAAACAAAAATGCTCACCACTGGATTAATAAATAACATCATGATACATGGAGAAAAAATTGAACGTCAAAGATTTCATTTTGCTTAGATCCATTCTCAACACTCATGGAAGCAGCAGTCAAGAAATCAATTTACGTATTGCATTAGGCAAATCTTCTGTGTAAGACCTCTTCAAAGTGTTCAAGAGCAAAGATGTCAATTTTAGGATTAAAATAGCATGGTGGTTAGGAGTCAGGCTGCTAACCTTGGGGTCAGCAGTTCAAAACTACCAGTAGCTTCATGGGAGAAAGATGAGACTTTCTACTCCTGTAAAGATTTATAGCCTTGGAAACTCTATGCAGGATTGCTATGAGTTGGAACTGACTCCATGGCACATAACCATCACCACTACCACATCACCCAAGCCATGATAATTTCAATAGCTTTATATGCATTTGAAAGTTAGACAGTTAATATGGAAGACCATAGAAGAATCGATATATTTGAGTTATGGTTTTGGAGAAGAATAATAAAAGTACCATGAACAGCTAGAAGAAAAAAGCAATCTGTTTTGGGATAAATACAGCCTGAATTCTTCTTAGAAGTTAGGTTAACAAAACTTCATCTCTCATCCTTCAGACATGTTATCAGGAGGGACCAGTTCTTGGAGAAGGGCATTATGTTTGGTAAATGAAGGCCAGCAAAAAAGATGAAGGTTCCCAATGAGATGAATTGGCACAATGGCAGTAGCAAAGGGCTTAAGGATAACAAGTATCGTAAGGCTAAGACGGACCGAGCAGTGCTTCCTTCTGTTGCGCTTAAGGTTACTGTGAATCAGAATCAACTCGATGGTACCCAACAACAACAACAGAAACATACAACTTGTCCTCTTTTACTTTTGGGTTCTTTTACTGAATACAATTTGTGTGGGACTCACTTTTGTTTTATGAATCATGCTCTTGGTCTTACATCACTGCCAATCTCAAGGTCGCCTAATTTTACCTTATTAACTTCTAGAACCTTAATTTGTATAGTTGTGCATTTTGCATTTAGGCCTATGGTCTATTTCAAGTGTACTTCTGTGAAAGGTGTGAAGTCGGAGTCTAGATTATTTTATTTTATACAAGAATGCCTATTTTCCATCATCCACTTGTTGAAAAGTCTTTTCTTTCTTCTTTGAACTGTGTTTATTCCTTTGTTAATGGTCAGTTGAAAATATTTGTGTGGTCTATTTCTGATACTTTCTATTCTGTTCCATTAAAAAGTTCCCTCCTCCATATCACACTGTTTTGATGACTGTAGCTTTATACCAGGTCTTGAATTTGGATAATGTTAATCTTTTAACTCTGTTCTTCAGTGTTCTGCTGGCTATTCGTGTTTCTTTTTAGGTGCTATTTTTATGATGGCTATCAGAAGAAAATATTTTATGTTAAGAAAAGGAGGGTAGCTTGCATAATAGAAAATATGGAAATTATGTCTATAAGTGACTTTTAATGCAATCCTGAATATTTATCCTAGAAAATAGGAAAATTTACGGGATATAAAAACTGGCTTCCTGTGTCTGAGTCTGATATATAAAAATAAATTATATTGAAACTGAGTTCCTAATAGAAGGTGGAAGTTAAGGATTGTTAAAAGTTAAAGGAAAATTAAATTTTGCTGACTCTTTGAATTTGCTTGTAATAATTTGAATCTAAATGTTTGTTGTTGTTAGTTTCCTTATACATATAGTCATATATATTAATCTAAACATGTGAATATGTACAGAGATGGACATAATCACTGGGAAGTATTTGAATAAAAATGGACAAAATGAATACTTAGGATGATATTCCTATATTTAAATATGGTTTGTACAACTTTTTGCTATCATTGTCACTGACTGTAAGTTTTTTGTCATAGGGGGTGATTGTTTTGTTCCACAGAGGATTATGTTTCTTGGAGTTGATGAAAATAAAGCTTTAATTAAAGAAAAAGAAATCACCATATCAAAATGTTCAAATACTAAAGGTAATGGATCATTCTATAATTTTGATTCTTTCATAATTTAAATAGATAAAGATTGATTGCTGTATATACCAATATAAAAGGTAAAGTAACAAATAAAAATATAAAATCTGAGCCCTCAGAATTTAGTCCTGGCTGTATCCCTAATTGTTTGAGAATTGAATTTTTTCTCAGACTTAGTTTTCTTTATCTGAAAAATTACCCTGTTGAACGATATATTCTCATGAAATCTTTCTAGCTCTAAAATGATTGGTCCTTCTAAATCATAATGCCAAATCTGTTTTATGGTTTTGTTTTCCATAGTAAATTATTCAGTAGGATCAAGTTTTGTTAGAAAGCTTTGTTTGCAAACTCGGTTAAGAGTATTAATCTTTGCACAATGACTTTCTCATTTTACAATTATTGCTAGCTACAGAGTCATGATGTGATGCTGTAGGATAAGCACTGACTGCCAACCATAAGGACGGCAGTTCAAACCTACCTCTGCTCGTTGGAAACCCTATGCAGGGTTGCTATGAGTTAGAACCAATTTGGCAGCATTTAGCAACAAAGATCCATAGTGGTTACATGGGCTAAGCAATGGACTGTTAGGCAGTTCAAATCCACCAGTTGCTCCATGTGAGGATGATAAGATTGACTGCTCCCATACAGATTTACAGGCTGAGAAATCTTATGTAGGATTGTTATGATTTAGAATTGACTTGAAGGCAGTGGATTAGATTGACTTCTTATAGTCTGTGAATAGTCAGGAGATAGATAGGGTTTTATAGTTTGTAGTTTTCCATGCCCTTACGGTGCTTAGAGTCCCCCCAACTGGTACTATTATGCTGGCCACCTCTTAGCCACAGATTAAAAGTACAACTATCCTGTAATTGGGGGACTGTACATACTCTCCAGCCACATATTAATGACTAACCACCACTCATGTGTTTAATTTTAAGTTAATTGAAATAAAACAGAATGAAAAAAGTTGCACAGACCACATTCCAAATGCAACACCACATGTGACTAATGGCTATTATATTGGACAGCGCAGATTTAGACTATTTATATCACCATAGAAAACTCTATTGGACAGTCCTGCTCCCAAGAATAAAACAAGTGGGAATTGTCACATTTAAAATATTTTTGGAACCCCAATTTGCACAATTGCACAACTGGCATTTTGAATGTGAAATTGGTGGTCTTTTATTCTTATATGAGGTGATATTAACTGTATTGTTACATTGAATATATTAGCTGTAGATTTTTAACATTTTGTTAGTAACCGTATTTGAGGACCATGCTAGGGAATTTTAATGATGCATTCTAAAAATATATATATATATATATATTCTAAAGATATATACACATTCTAAAGATATATATATCTTTATGGATATAGATATGTATATGTATATATATTTATGGATTTCTGGTGTAGTGCTGTGAGTTAATGTGCTGGACATCAAAGTCAGTTTGAACTGCAAGATTGGAGGTTCAAGCTCACCCAGCTGCTCCTCCAGAAACCCTATACGGGGACACTATGGGTCGAATTGACTCAGCGGCACTTAACAACAGCAATATATATACATACATACATACATCACACACACACACACACATATATATATATATTTAGAAACAGGTACACCCATCCTATAATCTTTGCAAAGTGAAATACCAACTGAAATACTTCTTTTACTAATACTGACATTTTATTTTCTTAATTTGCTTTAAAAGATAACAAGGACAGTCCTCATCCAAAGCGTTCCCTAACTACCCGACTAGGACCTACAACGCATGTATTAAATGCCACTGAGAATATCAGTATGAAGTGCAGAGAGGACCCCTCTTCAAGTGAGACATTAGCTCTATCACTTTTTGGCTTTAGATATATTTATCTTATCATGGATTTGTTTTGCTTATTTGAAATAGATTATTAAAAAAAAAAAAAAAAAAAAGATTCCTGGTGTGGCGCTGTAGGATAAGCACTGGACTGCAAACCACAAGGTCAGTGGTTCAAACCCACCAGCTGCCCCTCAGAAAACCTATACAGGGTAGATATGATTCGGAACCAACTCACTAACACTTAACAACAACAGTCCTCTACTAACTCAGATGATGAATTTGTGATGTAGGTCCTAGTAATTTATGAGCTTTCCCACTCATTTAACTTAAGTATTAAAATTAATAAATTATTACCGATTGGGAAGATTCATCAGTATGTCATTTTAAATTTCACCCATAGTGGAATAAGTTGACAACTTTTTAATGATGTTGGGGACTCCATCTTGATTAAACTTCTCCTTGTCACTGAGCTACTTCCCTTCATACAATTAAGACTCATGAATCTTCCTCTCTGTTTCCTCTCTTTCCCTCCCTCTTTCCTTTATTTCAGTTGTTGTACTCCTGCAATATTCTTGGATCCTTGATAAGTACTGACAGGAACCACAATAGCTTACCCTAACAAATGTAGCTTGGTGGTGTTTCTTAAAAGTATGTGTTGCAAATCCTAGGACTGGGAGCCTGAGAGTAAGGGATGAGATGTGACAGTGAAGAGGAAATAGTAAATCAGAGCTTCATTGAGGGTTTAACGTTTAAGTTAAGGTTAAAAGTTAGGGCAAAGGCAGTTTTAGTAATCCAATCTGGTGGCACAGTGGTTAAGCACTCAGCTGTTAGTCAAAAGGTCAGTGTTTTGAATCTACCAGTTGCTTCGTAGGAGAGAGATGTGGCTTTCTGTTTCTATAAAGATTATCTAGTCTTGAAAACCTTATGGGGCAGTTCTACCCTGTCCTATGGGGTTGATATGAGTAAGAATCCACTCAAATACAAAGGTAACAGGTATAGAGTGCTAATATCATTTATGTAGTGCACTTGCTGTTTATTTTCTTTGTGCAGTTGACACTTGTGAATGTTCAGGAGCCCAGCACAGAGAAATAACAGAGAATGCCCCTCTTGAAAAAATTCCTTCAATGTTCTCTCGAGAAATATATGTTGGAAATTTCTGGAGAATAATATGTGCATAAAAAATCTTGATGTAATAATAAATGAAAATGAGAAATGAATAATTTTTATGATGAATAATGTGTACATATACAAATCCTGATTATTTGATCAAATTATTTGCTCATTCAACTTCTTAAAATCTTGAAAAAATAGCCAATTTGCTTAAAGAATTTTACATGAATCCAACTTTTTCTTAAACACTAGTTTGGGCTAAAAAATACAAAAAGATTTACGTTCAAAATAACAATTCTAAAATGATTTAATAATAATATAATGAGATTTATAATTATATTTGGAATGCAATTTTAAGTTCTTTCAAAAGAATGAACACATTCTTTTGGAAGGGCAGCCTTTTCTTTGTTTTTTTCAGTGGAATGCTATTTATCAAAAGTTTTCTCATCAGTCTATTTCCAGGGTAGATATTTTTGACACTTAAAAATAAATCAGGCTTGTTCTAGAAAGTAGAATATTAGGGTACTGCGTTAATTCTTTCCTCTTACTTGACATGTGAGTACACAGATATATAATTATCACTTCCAGTCATTTTCAGATGAAAGCATCTCTTAAAAAACTATATACCTTGTATCTTTTCTAAGTGAATGATGTCCAGCCAGTGAGAAAACCTCATTTTAAAGGTGTGAAAAAAAGGAAATGGATTTATGATGAACCAAAGAACTTTCCAGGCTCAGGAATGCGGAGAGGTAAAGTGTCCATATATTTGAAATTTCTAAATTATAATATGAAAATATTATCTACCTGAAAAACAAACTATTGTCACACAATGAATCTTATTTTAGATGTTAACCCAACCTCTTTAGCCTTAGATATTTTAGCTCATGTTATTTTCCATTATATCTTTAAGAGCTAAAAGTGCAATATTTTGTCTATGAGTATAAAACCAATTTGTTTTGTCCCTCTCTAAATCCCCCTTTTCTTTTATAGCAGTCCAGGCTCCAAACCCCAAAAATAAAATGAGTTACCATCGAAATAATAAAAACCGAAATGCTGAGAACGCCTCCTATATCCATGTTCAAAGAGATGCTGTTAGGACAGTCTCGTTGAATGCACCTTCTCATGGCAGGACCACGAATGGGTCCTACAGCAAAGTTGATGTTAACAAGGAACCCAAACTCAACCTCTATCCAGGTGAGGAGGCTCTTTACAGTGTGATTTACTCTTGTCTGTGATTTGTATTCCCATGGGATTTCGTGATGACCTGGCTGGTCTTCATTGCTACCCTACTCCCTCTTCCTTTTTAGGGCACCACCATAATAACAGCTTAGAAAACTAGTAAGAAGATTTCTTCCATGAACAGGAGTGCACATGATTTCGAGGATATGGTTGGGAATTCATGTTGGGTGGCAATGACTTGATGCGGTAGCTCCCTGGAATTTTGGCTCAGTGCACTGCTCAGTATTCCCTTAGCTAGCTTTATTTCCTTCTTGGGGACTGTTTTTAAATGGTTGACATTTCCTTATTCCACTAACTGCATTGTTCAATGATCATTTTAAGATTATTGCCTCACATTTTCTTTAGGCCTTCATGATTGCTTTCTGAAAAGGTTAGTTTGGGGTTAACTGCAATCTTTTTGACACCCTCTCATCTCTCCCACAATGCACAGATTGCTTGTAAATCATTTCATCACATAATAGGCAAGGTCATACAAGGCCACAAGGGAGGAGGGAACTCAATCTTTCTCTTCCTTTCTCAGATGAATTTTGCCCTTCTGAGGTTGGGTTTCAGTTTTCTGAACTTGACAAAGTGACATTTATTTCTCTACAAGTTCATTTTTGTATTTTCCCATGTTCACAGCTTAGTTTTATTGGAGTTCTTAGTTGTGAACTTTTAAAACATAAACCAAAATCATGTTGTTCTTTTATAATTAAAATAGGAATTACATTTTTTTAAACTTTCTTTTAGAATATAATGAGATATATTTTTGTTAATTGCCGTCAAATCCATTTCAACTCATAGTGACCCTGTACAGGGTTTCTGAGGAGCAGCTTGTGGGTTTGAACTGCCAATCTTGCAGCTAGCAGTCCAGTGCTTATCCTATAATGCCACACCAGGACTCCAAATTGCATATAGATATTATATACTGTATATGTCCAAATGACATATAGAGATTATTGTTATTGTTGATAAGGGCCATCAAGTAGTTTCCGACTCATAGCAACCCTGTATATTGTTTCTGAGGAGCGGTTGGTGAGTTTGAACTGTTGACCTTGCGATTCAAACTGACCTTTAGGTCCAGTACTTATCCTATCGTGCCACACCAGGACTCTACATACATGTATGTTGTTAATGTTAAGTCTTGTCCAGTTGGTTCTGACTCATAGCAACTCTGTATAAGATTTTTGAGGAGAGGCTGGTGGGTTTGAACCACTGACCTTGTGGTTAACAGTCCCATGCTTATTCTACAGCAATATAATAGGACTTGTTGTTGCTATGTGCCGTGGAGTTGGTTCCAACCCATAGCGACCCTGTACAGGGTTTCCGAGGCTATAAATCTTTATGGGAGCAGAAAGCCTCGTCTGTCTCCTGCGGAACAGCTGGTAGTTTCGAACTGCTAACCTTGTGGTTCACAGCCCGAATCGTAACCACTACACTACCAGAGCTCCATAATATAACAGGACTACATGTCCTTAAATAAATTAAAATTGCAACTGTAGCCAGATGATATTTGTGTGTATATCATATATATATATATATGTTGTTGTTGTTGTTGTTACGTGCCATCGAGTCAGTTCCGACCCATAGCGACCCTGTACAGGGTTTCCGAGGGTGTACATCCTTACGGGAGTAGAAAGCCTCA